GGGGGCGCGCAGGAGGCAGCAGATTGATGTTGATGTCAATGTTTCTATCTATCTCCCTCCCTCTCTAAAAAAATCAATAAAAACATTTTTAAAAAATTGGTGTAATAAATGACCAGGCTTTATAGTATGAGCAGAGAAAAGTGCAGAAGGGGAAATACAGAAAAAGCGCGTTTAACCTGTGGATGTGTTTACCCCGTGCCCTGGGGGTGGCATTACCAATGACCTGTACATTCACCAGCTGCCCCTGGGGATGGATTTACCCCACTTAGACAAGGGACTCAACTCCATGCCAGCCAAACGGGAATTGGGAAGGGGTCCCTTCAGACATCAGGGGTGATCCAGTCCTGACTCACCAGAGCCATTTACTCAGGTGTCAGCTGGGGACAGTGAAACAAAGGAAAGGCTTAAGGTAGAAGAAACAACAGGAGAAAGTCAGAGAAAAGGGGGCCTTGGAGACAGGTTCAGGGGGTAAGCTGGGGTTGATCTGACACTACCCACTCCTCTCCTGGTTGCAAGATCTCGTGGGGTCCCTTAGAGTTTAGGAGCAAGAGCAAAGATACAAGGTATGGGCATGCTCTAGCAGAGGGCCTTGTGTCGTTGGTCTTGAGTCTTTTTTTTTTCTTGGAATGGGGAGGGGGCAGGTCTCAGGGGAGGTTCTCAACAATATTCATTAGCTTTTCAGGTGTGGCCTTCAATATGTTGATTCATCAAAATGTATGTATAGAGAAATCAAGGTAATTTTCTGGTTAGTTTTATTTTTAAAGAATGCTATTGAAGAGGGACCAGGAATGTTCTGGAAGAGGCTGTTCTATCCCCGGACAGTCTGGAATGTGTAAACAAACCATTTGCTCCTAAATGTCCTTGGTTAGGAAAAACAACACCTTGTGTTTCATTAGCTGACTATAAATTGTTCAAATCATCTGGCCTTATTCAATTATTTTGCTTGTTTCCCTTATTCCACTTGTCAAGGAATTCCCCTAAACTTCTTAACCTGCCTCAGGATGACACATGCAAGCTGGGGCATCTCACCCACCTTCTCTCTCCCCACATCCCATCCCCCACAGGTCTCCTCGATTGGTAAATGCTGGCTCCCTGCTCCCCGCACTGGAGCTGGCTGTGCACGTGGGCACTGGAGGCTGAGACCCCGAGCAGAATGCACCCATTGCACTGCTGCTGTCTCCTGGGGTGGAAGTAGGATTCCCAGGGCATCTGTCAACTGCCCAAACCCAGGGGGCCTACCACCTATTCTTGTCTCTGACTCCCTCAGCCCCCAAACCCAGCCCAAGAGGGAACCCTTACTGTTCCGGCCCACCCTGGCACCCTGGATAAGGCCACCAGGGTACACACAGAGCACCCCAGCGTCTGTCAACGGCAGGCGTCGGCTTCTTGCACATCACTGCGAGAGCCTCGCCCACGGTCTGGGGGCCCCTTGGCTCACCTGGCCTCCGGGCAGCGCGGTGGACTGGTGCCATCACACCACCTCAGCCTTGGCTGAGAGCCACATGGGGCTGGACGCTCGTTCTTGTCCGCCCCGCCTTGGCCTTGCAGCGCCCGGTCCGGTCAGTTTCCTAAAGAGCCCGAGCACCCGCCTCGGTCTCGAGTCCTTGGGCCGGCCCGAGCTGCGCGGGCCCTTTAAGGGCCGGGGGCGTGTAGCGGGCCCGCCCCCACCCCGCGGAGCCCGGCGGCCCGTTAAAGGGACCGCGCCCACGACACCCGCCAGGCGCGAGCTCGGGTGGAGGGCACGGGACCTGCCCGCGGGCCGGGGAGGCGAGGACGTGCGTCCGAGCATCCCGCAGGGCGGCCCTCCG